CCCCTGCCCCAGACACCCCCTTGGGGCTCCCACCACCAGCCCACGCCTCATGCTCTCCCCCCCCAGGGAAGGAGTTGCTGTTTTATAAAAGGGGTGACAGCACCCTGTAGCCCTTCCTCGTGCCCTCTGCCCCACTTGCTCGGCCCACCCAGCCCCAAACACCTCCCCAGGGAGAACCAGCGCAGAACCAGCCCCCACAAATCCCACGTCCTTTGCTCCTCCTTGGGGTGGAGCTGGTGGTTTATACTGGGGCACTGGCACCCTGCAGCTGATCCTCGTCCCCCCCCTGCCCCACACCCTTGGCCCCATAAGTGACCCTCATCCCCCATAACCCTTCCTCGCCCCACCACCCTGGCTGGACCAACCCTGGCCACCTCCCGGGGTCCCTTGTGCCAGCCCCCCCCCCCCCAGCCTCCCGCTCCTCCCGGGGGCGGAGGGGACGGTTCATAAGGGGGTGCGGGCACCCCCTGACCCTCCTGCCCCGGCAGAATGGACGCCCGGCCGCTTTTCCAGTCGCTGCAGGCCCTGGCGGAGGACAACGCCTCCTTCTTCCAGCGGAGCGGCACCGAGAGCGGCCGTCGCTTCGCCGCCGCCTTCGCCGCCCTACGGGAGCACGGCCGGCGCTTGGAACCGGCCCTGCGGCATTTCGCCCGCCTCTACCACCGCTTCGACCTGGACGAGGCCACGCCGGGCAACGGCTACCGCAGCCTGGTGCAGACGGCGCGTTGTTGCCTGGCCCACGCCGTCCATAAGAGCCGCTACGTGGCCGCCCACCGCCGCAGCGTCTTTTTCCGCGCCGGGCACAACGTAGCCGAACTGGAAGCCTACTGCGCTGCGCTGGCCCAGTTGCGTGCCCTCCTCTGCCTGGCCCAGCGGCTACTGGCCCACAACCGCCCCGGTTGCCTCTTCCCGCCGGAGGAGGACGGCCTGAGCGAGCTGGTGCTGCGTGAGTACAGCACCATGCACAACAGCTGCTTCTACGGCCGCTGCCTCGGCTTCCAGGTGACGGGGGACGCCGAGGGAGCTTTTTGCGCGGGGGTTTGGGTCTGCGGGGGACACGGGGACGGTTTTGTGTGGGGACGAAGGGACGGGCTGGCGCGGGGGTCTTGGGTTTGCGGTGGACAGGGATTTGGGGACGCGGCGCCTCGGAGCCACGGGACGTGCCGGGACGTGGCGTTGCGCTCACGCGGTGCCCGGGACCACAGGCGTGCCGGGACACGGGAATACGGTGACGTGAGGACACGTCCCGGGGGGGGGCTGCGTTTGCTTGGGGGGGGGGGTGC